AAAAATCCTCATTAATTAGCATATCTGCTACTCAGAGTCCACTGACTAAAGTCCAGGACACATTTCTCTCATTGTAATCTATCACAGACCTGGGCCAAACTTTCTCATTTAAGCCACAATAATAAAAGATAGTTTACTTGTTTAATTAACATAAATATATGTTTAAATTTAAAGATTTACTTACTAAAAGATTAATGAGACTAATGTCATTTCGATGAGCATACATATCAAATCAGAAGTTGCAAACTTGCATTAATTTCAGTATCCGTTCATTTCAAAATTTTGTATTCAGTGCTCAGTGTAGAGAAAATTTGAATTCACGCACTATCTAATTGCCCATGTTGATATTGTAATATTTATGCCATCAGGTGTGCATCTGCACTTACACATCTGTGGGAAATCTAACATAAAGCTGAATATTTCTGAATTCATGTCTGATTATGTTTGATAGGTGCTTACTGTGAAATAGTTACTTCCACTTTTTGCTCTGTGTAATTTCTTCAGTTTTACTTTGATTTAATACTTCTGTCTTGTTTTGTGATTGTTGGGTAGTTCTTGTTTAAATGTCCCTAAACTCTGGATTCTCTAGTACTAAGCTGTGGGATTGATTTCTCTTTAACAGTCACAGAAAGCATTTCATATTCACTTAAACGAACGAATATCTCATTTGTCTTACATAATTTGAGAGTTCCAAAGAGTTTTATCTAACTAAATTCAAGTTAAGAGAAGTTAATCTTACATTTATAAAATATTCAAGTGGCTTTATATCATAATTAAGCCATGGAATTTTTACCAGCCTTGAAAAAATTTTCTGGAACTTCAGGAAGTTTAAAAAAATCTACCCCCAAGTGAATCTATATTAGAAAAGTAAAATTAGAGCGTTTTACTCACTTAAATTAACTGGTACCTTGAGGGTTCCTTTGAACCACCATAGTCCTTTTAATGCACATTATAAATGTCCAAATTTGGCATGAAAAACAAAGTATGGGAAATTCTGATAACCCTATAATGTTGTTTAAAATCTGGGCAAATATTTAGAGGGTTGAGAGCCAAATATATTTTTCAGAATATGTTTTATTCATTGTTATGCTTCTGTGCCTAGCATAGTGCCTGGTATATAGTAAATACTTAATAAATATTTGCTAAAAGAATGAGCACTGCTTTTCCAAGCTGCAGGCCATGAAACTGATTTTGGATGATGCTCCATCTTTGAAATCAGGCTAATCCGATAAAACAATGGCTCCAAATGCACAGTGGGAGGTGCTGTGTACCGTCACAGCTGCTCCAGAGCTTGACAGACACTAAGGTTGTGTAGCGTGTAGCAGACATGACTGTAATAATCACTAAACCAGCTTGTGTCCTGGTTTGTACTTGACATAGGTACTTTGTGTAGCCGGATCTGCTAGGCCTGATAAAATGCCAATATCTGAGTGTTAAATGAGGAAGTTCCAAATCAGGTTATTTAGCAGAGGAACCAAACCTCAGAGAAAAAAGGACAATCAATCAGAAATGAGGAAGGCAACATGGCTGGGACCAATGGAAAACGTGCCTTGAGTAAAAATCCACCTAAATCTATCCTTTCTTCCCCCTCTTTTTAATGTTCTTCTATCTCTCTTCCAATACAGCTCCATCTCTTTTAACTCCCCTATTAAAATCCCTTTACTTAGGCATAACCTAAATTTCAATTATTTAGGACATCAAAACCTCGGGACTAGGAAAAAATTCAATTACTGAATCTTAACTTCTATTGAATTTTACCTGAGAGATCTATGTAGGTGACTTAAGAAAATTAAGAGAGTCACTTAAGGGCTAACGCCCCAGGAGAATTCTTTAATCTAGATGCGTCCTTCATGCCAGTATCTATGTATCTTCCCCCCATGCAAACGAAGGTCTCTCCATGGAACTCTATGATACCTCCTACTACAGGTCATTCTTTCCAGGGACTGTCACTTCTAATAGGATGAATGTTAGGATCTGACAACACTTGACAAGGACACTTGAGAAGAGAATGATGTTGAAAAACTTCCTCAAGTGCTCTTAAGGTTTTGTGGATGATTCCAAGAGTATTGGAATTCCAAGAACACATTTCTAAATTGATTTAGTAACTGACTACTTTCAAAAAAAGGATTTAAGACAACTCACAGTGAAAACCTAAGTGCAAGTAAGCCAAAATATTTAACACAAGTCAGAAACAGGAAATAGAAGTTAGAGCGATGAAAGGAAAACTCTCTTAAGTCAATGGAACACAGAATTTAGTGGTGAATTTTCTATTCACCAAAGAGACTGAAGAGAAGAACATTGGGCACTGTACCTCTCACTTTCTAGCTAAAGAGAGCATATCCATTCTTTAGGAACAATAAACATGTCTTACAAAAAAAAACCCACAGAAAAAGTCAGAAATAAACTTTCTATTGAACATCTACAATGCACAGAATGATTTACATTCATTATTACATTTAATTGTGGGCACAACTCTCTGTGGTAGATACTAGCTTTACAGTAGAGAAAACTGAATTTCAAGAAATTTAATTGACTAATTTAATCAAATTTAATGCGACTTGACCAAAGACACAGCTAGTAAGGGATAGGATAGCACTAGGACTTGAGCTCATGCCTGTCTGATTCCATAGCTTATATCACACCCAGAGAAGTAAACAACCCTACCTCTAGCTCATCTGAATTTTCCAACTCAAAGCATGCACACACATACATACATGTGCACGATTTAGCCTTCTATAATCAGGCTATACTTGGAAAGTATAACTGAGAAACTTCAGGAAAATGACATAAATAGCAGCTGTAAGCTCAGTATTTTCATTCCAACTACTATAATGGTAGCAATAGCTCACCCACTTACGTGAAATATAAAATGCCTTTTTGTACCATATTACAGCCAAATCCTAGGAGAAAACTAGGCATATCTAATTTGTTACTTGGTGTAATGTGCTTTATGCTTTTATCTGTGTGGGGACATCTGAGAGTTATGCTGAGACTGTAATAGTGGGCTTCAGGGAGGAAAGGTAAATCATATGCTAAGAAGGCAGTGAACTGGAGTGTATTCCTATTACAGCACCTCCAAATAAAGTGGCCCCATTTTAGAAAATAGTGTCCAAACATAGCTTAACTAGTCTGGCATCATCTGCCAAAGAACCCAGCGTGATAGTTTAGACAGGTGGAAGGATCAGCAAGCTAGAGGGTGGCTTCCATGGGAGGAGCAGGGTTATTTATGATCCCAACAAAAAGTGGGAAAAGAGTCTCCAGCTCCCAAGGCAGAAATGGGCGAAGACTCAGCAAGTTATCATTTTGGAAAGGTGACCAGTCCTTGTAGGAAATCTGACAGGAGTCCAGGCATGTAGATGAAGCGTGAAGGTTACAGGTAAGAGGAGAAGTTTCATATCAGTGCCCAGGAAATCAGACAGAGGAGAGCTCATTTCTGTTGGGTCTGAGCCAGACAGTACAGAAACTTCAAGATAAAAGCCTGAGTTTCTACAGCTGTGCAAAGCTGGGTGAACAGTGTCTTCCAATTGGCACAATATTTAATGGTAACTTATGACAAATTCCAATATTGAAAAGGCTCTTATTCTCTGGTAAAGAAACACAGATGGATGAAGTGACTTGTGCAAGCATCAACCTGTGGCAAATTCATGACCAAGACTCATATTCTGTGGCTTTTCTTCTAAAACACCCTTGACTCGTTCCTGCGGTGACTATGCAATGAAGGAAACAAGATTAGAAACAGTGGCCCTTCTGTTCCAAGTCTCTCACTGAGCCTCTTGTATCATAAAACAGTCAGTCTAAACAATTGCATCACACAGTTGGTGTGCAGACACAGGATCCTGTGGCTGCCTTAATATTTAAAATAGTAAAAATTGTAAATTAACTCAAAAGTGATCGAATTTGAAGTTCCTCTATGGGCCACACGCATTTGAATTATCTACACAAATAATTTGTTGTTACTTTTAGCAATAGTGGGCAGCAATAACAAGGTTGACCCAGAAAGACAGGAAATCCTAAAATTACACTAACAGGCTCTATATAATGCCTCTTCCCTCTACTCCAAAGCACATTGAAATTAATCTATTTCTACTGACAGAGGAAAATCAACATAAGAATTAAAATCTATATGTGCCACCCAAAATAGCTAAGACACATGCAGAGAAGCAAGTGTTGAGTATCTTTGATCCATTGTATACTGGAAATTTTATAAAATAACATAAAATTTTATTCAGCTTAGAATGAGTGGCATTTGCCACAAGCTATTGTTTAATCTTGTCTCCAAGTTTTAAATTGGTCGCAGAATAGGTTATCAAAACAGTGGAGCTGTTAGAAGCTTTATGTATGCGTTGTAAATTCTGGCCCAATTTCCATTTCTTTAAACTGAACTAGACTTTTGAAGTATGTTTACTGTTCTTCTTCCCTTTCTCTATTTTCAGTGCTTATCAAAATATTTAGTAATAATGTTCATATGAAACACATATATTCCAGGTATTGTTAGCTAAGAGCCACTCTCTGGTATATGACATTTACAAATACCATGGCTATTTGCAGATCATTGTCTTTATGAATTATAACTGAGTGGTAGCAATCCAAACTGACTTGAGATTCCTTCAGAAGGCTGTCTTTCTAGTTGTACCACCTTTCATTAGTGATGTCTTACTAATTGTCACATTGCATTATATTTGTGCCCAGTATGATGCTACATAACATGATGCAGGGAACAAGAAGCAGTGTGAAACGTTGTAGGCATTACATTTTAATGAGACAGCATTTGTGTTGAGTCTGAATGCCTGCAGTTAACGATTCAGAGAACAAGTATTTGAGTTGAAATTCTGACATGTTTAGCAAACGTAGTATTCATTAAGGTAGGCGAGGTAGAAGCATTGTAAGAACTCATGTGTGACAATGACTACACTGTGGTTCTGTGAACAAGAAATAGACTTTACTTTAGTTTGAGGTACCCTGTGCACTGGTAGTATGAAACTCTTTATTTTTCTCTTCAGGTCCTAAAGGGTTTCCCAGAATGTTTACAAGCTGACATCTGCCTGCATCTCAACCAGACTTTGCTGCAAAACTGCAAAGCCTTTCGGGGGGCAAGTAAAGGTTGCCTTAGAGCTTTGGCAATGAAGTTCAAGACCACTCATGCACCTCCAGGAGACACCCTGGTTCACTGTGGGGATGTCCTCACTGCACTTTATTTCTTATCCAGAGGCTCCATTGAAATCCTCAAAGATGACATTGTGGTAGCTATTCTGGGTGAGTGTTTTTGAATTGGATGGTCACAAATTCACGTATTAGCTTATGCAATGCATAGTTTAGAATGATAGGAAACAGGACTTTCCTATTTTTTTATGAGTACTACTGAAGACCTATGAGTAATTTTAAAGCTTTATTATTATTAATTTGTTAAATCAAATTCACTTTGCAGAAAATGTTTTCTTGACTGTCTCACTTTTTCTCTGATTTGTAAATGCTTCCATTCTTGGCAGTTACTTAAACATTTAAGGCCAAACATATGAAAATAGTCAGCATTTTCCTTTTCATGGTAGAGGATCTTGGATTCATGTTTGAACCCTGAACATCTTAAATAAAATGTATACATAGTAAGCAAGGTTGCTAGCATGTGCCAAAGCCCCGTCATGAACTGGGTATATATTTTGATGAATTTCATCTATTTGCCATGCACGTTACCTGCTGTATCCCTCAAACAGAACAATATGAGTCCTTACCTAGGTGACGTAGAGCTATGAACTTAACACCTAAGGATAAAGGTGATGAGGAAATTAAAATTAGTAATAAATTAAACTGATTTAGGTACAAAAGAAAGTCCATCTATCCCATCTGCCTCTTCAAAACTAAGTTTCGTCAGTGTGAATTTGTAGGATTTCTTGGGGGCTATTAGAACAACAGAGAAGAGCACAGGAACAGAGAGAAATGAGGTCAGTTGTCCTCTCCTACCCCCAGCCCGTAGGTTTAAGCCCAGTCTCCCCATGGGAACACCCACCCCTCACATTTGTGAACGTGTGAACTTCTTGTTCTTTTCCTGTGGGTTAAATCTAGTTCTGTTCAAATAACATGTGACTCAATGATTTCCTTTCACTCGACTCTTGATGTTAACATCCAAAGGACAAGGAGGCTATCTGATTTCTTCACTGCTCTGTTGAACCAGAGTCTAGCAGAGCACAGGTCCCAATCCATGGACGAAGATGTTGTGGAGATTCCTACCTATATTGATCATTTTATTATGATGCCAGCTTTTGAAAATTTTCCAACATTGACAAGATGCACAAATTTGGCTTGCAGTCCAATAAGCAGGCAAAGAATAAAAGCCTAGTGTAAATCACTCAGCAGCTGCACAATAAATTGGAGTTTTCACTAGATTTGGCCATGACAGTTTGCTCTGGTATATTGCCAGGGAAGGAGCATCCTTCATTACATTCCTGATCTTCAGATCAGCCAGCCCTAACTTCTACAAGGTGACAAGCCTTCCTGCTTTATAAAATAGTCATTTTAGAGTGTACATAAGCTCTGCTTGCTGACTGGCTTACTCTTTGCTCGTTTACCGTCATGAGAGCTAATTAAAACACAAAGCTCAGGCCGAATTTAGTTCAGAGCTGATCTGATCTGTGATAGTATCTATACTGAAGTATCAAAACTAGAAAACATTTCAAGAGATTCTTCTTTTCTGTCCCCCTCTCCGTGTACATCTGCGCTTAACATTTTCAGAAATTGATTTTTCATTCTATTTTTGAAAAGCTAAGAATTTATTTAAACTAGAGTTAATGTATTCTCTCTAACATCAGTTTTTCTTATAAAGATACAGCATCTGATTTCTCCCTGTTACATTGACATTTAAAATAAGAACATTACAGTTTTTTTTTAACTTAGAACTTTATTGTTTAAAGTCTTTGATAGTTTCCGTAGTCAGGTATATATGAACTTGTCAGCCAAAAACTAAAGTAATAGATCCAGGGAGCATTTTCTAAATCTGAAAAGAAGGTTTAGGGTATAGTAAGAAGGTACTATTTTACACTGCCATTGGCTACTTTTAAAAATCATATAATCAGTAATCTATCAGTAGTTATTATGCATTTATTCCATAGGTACTATTTTTAAGTAACTTGACATTCAGAAAAATCTAAGTGCCCTGACATTCAGGGAAAATATTGGGAGGAGATTAAATACGTCAAGTGTGTAAAGATTTTGACTGGAGTCAGATGCATGGGATTTAGTCATGGCTACTCTCTCCCTCCCTTTACTTCACCCAACTAAGAAGGTGACCTTGACCTAATCCGTTAACACTTTTTAATCCTCTTTCTATATTCATCAAATTTGGATAATAATTAGTAATTTTTTTCCATACAGTTATTTTGGGGATCAAGTGAGATAATACACCTAAGCATCTGACACAGCGCCTGACACCTACTTAGTCCTCAGTGATTGTTGCTGCCGTCATTATCACCCTCATCACTGAAAGAGCCTGGAAAAGAGATGGCATGTGGCCAGGCAGAGGTGATGGGAAGGGCTCATCAGAAGCCAGACACTGAAATAACCCCAGGTTTGACAAGAAAGCAAGAAGGACACACTTTTAGAATAAAGGTCATACAGTCAAAAAGCATGACTGTATATGCTGGGAAAATATAGCTAGATTTATTAAGCAACGGGATACATTCATTAAGGGCAAGTCCAAAAGTGGTTACTAAAGGAAAGAGGTGTGTTCACATTGTACCCCTAGTCTTCTAAGTGTTAAAGTGTTCCACCATAACTTCATGCTGGGCACCACCTCCAGAGACCGTCCTGAGACAGAAAATTTGTGAATCTGACTCACCACAGCCTTCCCCACATGCCTGAGTTGACAAAATTAGACCTACTTTCCTACCACTGGCAAGACCCGTTTCTAGTGGTGTGTGGCATAGCAGACTAAAGCCATTTTCGCTGTACTCTAGATGCTTGGCCAAATAATCAAAACAAGGGTATAAGAGGGGTTACACCAAGACCAGGGCTCTAAGAGGCAAAATTTCTGTCAGCGAACAAACACGACTGGGACAGTAGGTACGAGGTACTGGAATTTTGCTTCCCAAGTGTCTGTTGGCTGTAGGGTCTTACACTTGAAATTTTGGGTTCAGGGATTGGTCAGTAGTCCCCTTCTACTTCTAGAAGGAAAACATTAAGTTCAGATTCCTTTTATCTCCTTTTTTCCCCCTTTTCTTTTTCTTTTTTAGGAAAAAATGATATATTTGGAGAAATGGTTCATCTTTATGCCAAGCCTGGAAAGTCTAATGCAGATGTAAGAGCCCTCACATACTGTGACTTGCATAAGATCCAGAGAGAAGATTTGCTAGAGGTTTTGGATATGTACCCTGAGTTTTCTGATCACTTTCTCACAAACTTAGAGCTGACTTTCAACCTAAGGCATGAGAGTGCAAAGGTATATGTTACCTGCTGTTTTTGTACTGTGACATTTTATTTTATTCTTGGACTGCCCAGATACTCCTGAAAGATCAAGTGAAACAGTGTAAACAATCTTAACCAATTCTGAATATTTGAAAGGAAAAGCTGACTTATTATTGTAATTTCTAAATTATAGGGAGGGAATTCAGTCTAATTACTTTCAAGCATATTGAATAACTTTAAGTAGTTCAATAAAATTTGACCTTTTTGGGAAATCTTAGGTGATATACTTGATTTTAAAATAGCCTTGGTTTATATTAAGTGTGCCAGTTATTTGTAATAAACGGGTGATTCTAGGCTATTGAAAATCTCCTAAAAGAGTTTATCTCATACAGAGGTTAATATATTCTCTCAGCTATTATTTACACCATATATTGGTTACCAGTATCTTTTCAGCAATTATTGAAGAATTGAACTCTTGAAGTTTAGGTCCATATTTAACACAATTTCTAAATCACAGAAGTATAAATTAATCAGGTTTATAACTGAGTCAAAATTAGTGATGAAGAATGAATAACATATACTCTAACAGAAATAATATTTCAAATGATTTTGCATGTGATTTAACCCAGGATGAATTTTGAGAGTGCAGCCCTCAAATTCCTCACTCTTGTCCACTGTGAAAATGGGTCCTTATGGTCTACCAGTATTCTAAGAATACAGAACTGATGTTGCAGTTCACAATTTATTACTAGGTCATTCCTCCATTCCCTTCCTCCCAAAACCCTGTAACCCCAACTCCAACTCTGAATACTCTTTTTGTCAGAAATCAGTGTTTTGACATTTGCCAGTGTATTTGCACGCTCTCTGGGAAAAAGACCTTCAAGTCGATAGTTTGGTAAAAGTGTTAAAAGATTTAATCCCACCTGGAGTTACAGTCATTCCCAGGTACTGTGACAAACTTTAAGATGTTTAGGTCACCAGAGTATCATCTGATAACCTGAAGCATCAGCTCAGATAATTACTTGTTTTCAAAACACTGGAAAGTTGAAAAATACCGAAGTGGTAAGAAGTTCAAGTTACCAAGAGCATATTTTTTTATAATGATTTTAATTCGGTACTTTATCAAATCCCAGTTTAATGTCACCAACCTCATTCTGATTTTGCTTTGAAAAACAACTAACATCTATTTCAGATAAAAGGTAAATGTTACATAAAAAGTTTACATTTACATAAAAAGTTTAGGCAGCAGCTATATAAAAGAGGAGCTTCCTTTTTTTGTTTATTTGGAAGCTTTCAGTTTTGTTTACAAAAGAGAGAGGAGGGAGGAATGAGGAACAAAATAATAAAGGGTTCAGAGCATAGTGTGTATTGAATTCAACCTTCTATTTATTGTTGTGAAATTTAACCTTGCAACCATTACCATGTAATTTAAACATCATAGCTAATTATAATTAGTTTATACTTTTTTCTCTGCAGTAATACAGATTCTGCAAAGTTTTTCTTAATTAGTATTATTCTTATTTTGACTTTACCAAGTTACATAAAATACTTTCCACAGAAAGGAATACATTGTCTCTAAATGTTGACATCATCCCCAAACATTTCTGATAAATAACCTCTACAACTATGATTTCCCCATCAGATGGTAAAACCACTAGAATTATCCTATCAGTCTATTTTATAATTTAGAGACAACCATTAAGCAAAGTATTGTTGCTATTTGCCTGTAATCAAATAATTGTCTCAAAGTGGTTGAAATGATATGGAATAGTAAAGAGTTTGCTGATGATACATTATGCTCAAATTGAATAATCTTCCATTTTATCTTCACATTCCATTAACAAAGGCCGATCTCTTACTACGATCACAGTCCATGAATGATTCTGAAGGAGACAACAGTAAACTACGAAGAAGGAAATTGTCATTTGATAGTGAAGGAGAGAAAGGTAACACTTTTTTTTTAAAGTTTAAAAGCATGTGGTTATTAGTTTTCCTTACTAAAGTGGTCACTGTACTTCTGATTTCAAGGGTAAACTTTATTCAGATTTTAGAAAGCCAAACCCTTTGCCTTTTTCAGTCTCTAATGATATGGTTTCTGATGGTCAGCTCTCAAGGATGTTTCTCAAGACCGGTCCTAGGCTTTCTTCTCTTCTTATTCTATGTCATACTCTCCCTGAGCAATCTCATTTACACCCATAATTTAATTGTATTTTCATGTAGGAAAGGTGCATATTTACATCTTCATTCCAGACCATCTGAGCATCAGTCCCATATATCCAAATGCCTGTTAAACCATCTACTTGAAATCACAAAGGCAGCTCAAACTCAACATTTTCTAAATTAAATTCATGATATCCCCCTGGAAACCTGTCTCTCCATCAGTGGACATATTTTTAAATGACACCACCATTCAACCAATTGCACAAACTAGGTATCTGTTTAGGAGCCAACTTTCTCTCAACCTCTCCAGCAACACTGGCAACAAATCTTATTATTGCTACATCCGGCACATCCATTTACTTTTCAAACTAGGTCACTTTTGATTCACTTTTCTCCACCTTCATAGCCACAACTCTTGACTCAAGCTACCATGATACTGAAACAATATTCCAACTCACCTTCCCAACTTGCCCATCTATTCTCCATACTGGACTACTGGTGATTTTTTTTTCAGATGCAGTTATACTATGTTATACACACATTTAAAGCCCTCTAAGGAATTCCCATTCCCTAAATTCTTCATAGGGTGGTTCCATGCCTACCTCTTCAGTCTTGTTTCATGTCATCATTCCCTTAGCTACCCTAACCTGGCTTTCCCCCTCAGCTCCTTTCTTTTGCAGCATTTATTCCAGTTGTTCTTCTATATTATTTGCATCTTATTTAATCAATGATGTCTGCTACCAGATCATAAGCCCCATGGGAAATATTTAGTCACCTGAGGCTTCAATGCTTGCTACGTAGCAGGTGTTCAACCGATACCTGTTGAAAGAATGAATGAGTTCATGAAATAGCATTTGAGCATCTTCCATGTGATTCTCTTCCTCCTTTTGCCTTCTTAATCCAAGTTCTTTTCTTGGCCCTCTTCTCTTCTCTCTGAATTCTCTCCCAAGGGAAGCTCATCAACTAGTTTTAACCTGCACTGTATTTCAAGTGAAGTAAGCTGCCCTCTCTTCCATGTGAATCATTTCTGTATTTTTGCTTATATCATTCCCTTAATCAGAATTTACCTCCCAATAATCATACACACACACATACACGTACAGCCATAACAAACCACTTTTTCATCCATTAAATTACATTTTTTGTCAAAGTTAATGTTCAGTGATATTCAACATGAAACTCCTTCTTGACTTCTTCAAAAGTATGTTTTCTTTCTTTTATGAAGCCCTAAGGCACTTTTTTTTCCTTATGCAGACAGTCCCCAACTTACAATGTTTCAGCTTATGATTTTTCGACTTTACAATGGTGTGAAAGCAATACACATTCAGTAGAAACCGTACTTCAGATTTTGAATTTTGAGCTTTTCCCCACTAGCAATGTACAGTAAAATATTGTCTCATAATGCTGGGTGCCAGCAGGGAGCTGCAGCGCCCAGTCAGCCTCACGATCACAAGGGAAACAACCCGTACACTTACAACCAGCCTGTTCTCCACTTCCAGGGCAGTATTCAGTAAATAACATGAGATGCTCAACACTTTTTTATAAAACAGGGTCTGTGTTAGATGATTTTCCCTGATTGTAGGCTAATGTAATTGTTCTGAGAAGGTTTAAGGTAAACTTGGGTTAAGCTATGATATTTCGCAGGTTAGGTGTATTACACTGACTTTCAACTTAAGATATTTTCAACTAGCAATGGATTTATCAGGATATAACCCCACTGTAAGTCAAGGAAGATCTCTGTTTTCAAAATCTGCCCTGTACAATGGTTATTGGTGAATTTGTCCTTTTTCTCTATTAAACTGTAGATTCCTTTTGCAGAGCATGGTTGATAAATATCTGTTGAATTAGGCAAATTGTTGAATCCTCTGGCTGATTGCAGAACAAGAAAGCACTCTCACAGATAGGTGATAATTTATTTCTGCAATGTCCTTCATTATTCTCCTGGTGACTTTTTCTAAAATCAGAACCATTATCGTCAAGCTGTTCCATCGATTTAATCTAAATCCCTTATCCTGAAGTTAATCTCATATTTTGATCTCACTAGAAAGGAAGAACAGCTTGACAATATTGTCTATATAATAATATTCCCCATACAATTGAAGACTTATTAAATCTTCTTTCAATTTGTTTAGCTTCCTCATACTCAAACTAAATAATCTAATGTTTTTATCTCCTGATAAGGCCCTGAGAGCATGTCACAATTTATATTGTGCTTATGCAACTAGACATTTCTATTGATTCTGAAAACTTTTCCTTTAATCACAGGCTTAGTCTGTGAGGCCCATTTTATAAAGTGTAGATGGTTAGGGGTTTGCCTGCCTGTAACTCTTTGAAGCTTCCTCGTATGTCCGTGAATAAGCATGATTTTTTCAATACGAAAACACAATTAGTTTCAGTTATCCAGAGCCTGAGAGTTGCCTATTCCAGTCTTCAGGACTCCATGGTGCTAAAGGTGAGTTCAAAAATTAGCTGAATGCATTTTAGCCCTAATCACCACAATCTAAAGATCTGAAGGGGCTACTCATTCTATACTTCCTGATGTAGAACCAATACCTGGGAGAAAAAAGCATGTAAGTAAGTATAAAGAACAGAGAACTTTCAGAAGATAACTGATACTAAGTAATATGGCAGGTACATAAGCTAAAAGCTGCCCATGAAATGTATTGCTTACTTACAGTTAGTTTACTTCTCATTTGAAACAATACCTGAGGCAAATATCCAAGAGCACTGTTGACTGTGAATTAATCAGCAGAGGCATCAAGAACCAGAGGGAAGAATGCATGGTTGGCTGTTGGAGACAGACAGAGGTTGAGTCTTGCAATTACCGCTTATAACCTATTCAACAAAACACCGGAGCCCTTCAGTTCTTCAGTTCTCATCTCCAGCCCCTCCACCTTCAATCATGCCTAAACCTCAGAGTGTTAAGGAGCTTATGTTTAAAAGGAGATATTTAAAGAGAAAAGATATATATAAGGAGTAAATATATACACTGTTAAACTTTGTTTTACAGAATAGGGGTGGGTCAAATTCTAAGTTTATTAAGTTAAGCCTTTAAATATAATGGAATTACTTTCGCATCTCTTTGGAATATCTTCTCCAATAACAAAGAATGATTAGCTCTTGTTATCCATTTTAGTAATATATAAGTGTATCTTTATTTTAATTTTTAAGATAAATTTCATATGTATTTAAATAGAAAAATGACACTAATTATCTTTCAACATTCTTTGAAGATGGAGAGGAACTAAAGTACTTGAAATCAAATGAATAAATTTATTTTAGACTCCAATTTTCAATGAAATAAGTTTTTTAATGCATTCAGCTGGGAAATGCTCAACTTACCTCAAAATTGTTACCAGGAGGAGATCTTAAATGCCAATGCTAAGAGAGCACATTAAATGCCTCTCTTTTCCACCTGTTGGGTCTGGCAAATTAAAAATGATAGTTAATCTGAAAGAAAGGCTCCATGAAAGATGGAAAGAGCGCTAGCATTTGTTTCCAGGTTGTTTGAAATGTAAGAATTTTATGTAATAATTCTTAAGATGGATGAGTCAACCACTCCATCAGGACATTCACTCAGTGCTCGTCAGTCTGTTCTGAACCCAGACAGACATTCACAAGGCAAATCACAAATACCTTAGAATTGTATCCTGTGAGGAAAGGGAAGGAGATGAACTGTCAGCCTACAGAAACAAGGGATTTAAAAAAATGGTTTCAGTCATCTAAATCAGAAAAACTTGAGGCTTAATTAAACAGACAAATTTTTTCTTTGCAAAGTGATGGTAACAGAAGTGATTATATAGTCTCACTTCTAGCAAAGGGAAAAATGTAAAAACTCAGATTACTGCCTTCAGAATACCATTTCTACTTAACATTTCAGAAAATAGCATTAAGAAATGATAATAATAAAACAGCATTAAGAATAATATTAAGAAAAAATAGTACCTCATACTGTTTAATGTCCGTTAAGTAACCCAGTTTAATAAGGAAAAGACAGAAATGGAACAAGCCATCAAAATCTAGAGGTACCTGGAAGCTAATTACAATGTGTTTCAGCCCAGTTTCATGTATTCCGTTAGCTAACCTGCAGTCTAAGCCTGAGCAGTTTCCATTTTTAATTCACAAATAGATTGTCATTTCAACTATCATTTTAAATGATTGAATATGAAGCTTTGAAGTATCTAGTACGGAACAGAGAAATGCCATTGCAGTTGGGCTGCATTAGAGAAACTGTTCTCATGGCCTGGGTTCCAAGAAGCAGCTGGGTGATCACCCAGTGGCAATGAACGCAGAATTAAATGTGCAGTAATTTCCCTTATGTTTTGGAAAAATTCAAGGATATGAAACTTTTCTTCTTCTTTCATGACCCTGCTTTTACCTGAAATTTTTCCTAAAGGATTTGGATACCATGTATATGAAATAATTTGCTCCATTTTACTAGAGAACGAAGTAATAATCCCTCATTCAACACATTTCGTGAACACCTGTTCCTGAGTTGAAATCAGCAAGTTATAATTCAATTTAAAAATATATGTTAACTGATGAATTTGTCCTAAGGCATCCAAACTCAAGCCATAGTTTAGTAAACAAAGACCAAGGCTCATATCGTAGGTGGGACAAAACATTTTACTGTGTGTGAGGTTTTTACACATCTACAGAGGACTCACGGACCTCTCAAGCCAAAGAGACAACGTGATTTAATAATTGGTGATGTACATTCATTACAAATATCTATGTTAGCATTATCCTTACTCAGTTGGAGACATACGAATTAGTTGTTAATTCACTTTACATTTGATTTTGCTGGAAAAGATTCCATGAAAGTGTTTAAAGGAAAAGCATTTTGAGGACAATGAGAAGCTTCTGCTGATTCAAATCCCATCGGTGCCCAAACTGCCCAAAGTTTTACTTAGGGGCAGCAAATTGTTGCAATGTACTTAGCAAGCATGAGGATAATTTAGAAGAGAGAAGCTTTTCTCTTTTTTTAACCTTTACTAGCGTAAACTTGGAAACTATTATTTTTTAAGGAATGAAATGATTTGTTCATAAAGTGGGGATGCTGATCAAGTTTTCAGGAGGGGAGAAGTTAAAATCAAAGGAGACAGAGGAAAAGACGACAAGAATGAAGTTTAGAGGCTTACAGAGGGCTGTGCCAGTGACACTAGAAAGGGTCTGTATAAGAAGAGCTGACCTAATATTTATAACCAGCTAGATTAGTGGTTGAATGGAGACATATAAGGAACACTGAGTATCAATGATGTCGACAGTGCTTGAGATTGGAAAGGTCTGTAGTCTTCTCAGTGATGATGAAATCACCGAGCAAGTGTGAAATCTTAAAGAAAATAAATTAAACAATCTGCTTCCACTACATTTAACTTTAATTGGTAGGATGTAAACTAACTCCTTAATAACCATTTCGCATGAAGCTCATTTTAAAACTCTATCCATTTTTACCTTGGGCTGCTTTCTGGCTTCTTATATTTTAAATTATGCTTTTTTAAATAAAAGAAAAAGATCTGTTTAATTTCTATGCCATATGGGAATTTTAAAAAACAGTTGGAAGTTTCTCTGAAGTGGCCTTAAATCAGTTCATTTGGTCTTCTATAAATAACAAAGAAAGCATAACCAGGCAGAGAGTAGATGGGGACATTGTCTTAAGCATTTCTCGAGAAAATGATATACCTTCTGGAGAATGTTGGTTAGTTATTAGCAGTAACCAGATGGAGAATTATACTGTCTCCCCAGGACACTAATGGAAACCAGTTCTGGGCTTTGTCTCTGAGTTTTTCCTGCTGAATTATATTCTAACACAACCTTCAGGGCTGAAATTATCCTGACATTTCAGTATAAAACAGCCAATATGCACTCCTGGATTTAATGTAATTAGATAAACCCACCTTAATTACTGTATTTTAGCTTTATATTCTTTGCAATGTGCTACACAACTAAACTGCCTGGAATTTGATGCCAAGGCCAATGTATGCAATGAACTAGGGTTGAAATTCCGCCTGCCAGCCCTTACCACCAGGGGGCATCCAGTTTTGACATCCACAATATGTGAATGGCCACCACAGATGAGAGGGCGTGAAAGCTGAAAACAAACAAACAACAAGCTACACAATGGTGATATTTAGAACTGAGACACATTTTTCTTCCCTTTTTCATTTCTGTAAAGAGATAGTACACCAGATTTTAAGAATACAAACGACTGTTGAGCATGTAAAAATAAGGTTTAAGTTACCCTACAGTTTTTTTTTCCTGAGGTATAAACAGTATTACTACTGCAGGTATTCTTTTAATTTTGAAATGAATAATGTATTTCATTAAGATAATCTAATGTCCCTTGAATTAAGAAAAACTCTCCTTAAGTAGCTACATTTTCAGTAGGAAGAAAAGAGAAAGAATAAAATAACTTTTCTGGTGGCTTAAAAAAATTCGATATCAAAGATCATCACTATTAAAAGGGTACTATATATATAACTAGACAGTGCAATTTGCAGTCCCACATTTGATTATCTTCTATAAAATAACTTTTATTTGATAGATTTTGGCAAAGAAAGCACTACAAATGATCCCGAAGACTCTGTAGACACGATAAGACATTATCAGAGCTCCAAGAAACACTTTGAAGAGAAAAAGAGCAGATCGTCATCCTTCATCTCCTCCATTGACGACGAACAAAAGCCTCTCTTCTCAGGACTTGTAGATTCTCCTCCAGGAATAGGGAAAGCAGCAGGACTTGGTCTTGAAGAAACAGTGCCCACCTCAGGAAGAATTCACATAGGTAAACGAAGTCACTCTTGCAAAGGTAATCAAGTTTCTTAGAAATCAGTTTGTCTCTCTGAGTGCGAATCACAAAATGGTGACTCTTCACAGATGAAGACCCATACCAACACATGTTAATCTAACCTTGGATTTCATGAAGGATTTGCAAAGAGTTCAAATCTCAGGTCATCTACAAAGTGTTTGCTCAATTCTGGAATAGTGGTAATTATTTCCAATGATAGCATAAGAGGTTTTGTGTGACCAGTCAGACTTAACATAATGCCACATACAACACTGGGAATGTCTATTTTAGTGATTCATGGTGAGACAGGATCAGTGAGTATTTGAAGAGAGCTAACCCGTTGATTCTTATTTGTATTTTCTGTATCTATCCTCACCTCCAACCCTTTTGTTTTATAGAATGAAAGGCCAATGCAGTAACACTATAATGAATACCAAAGAAATTACGGTTTATGGGGAATTATAAGAAAATGGGGAGAAATGCCCCTAAATAAAGTATGCTCTTGATCCAACTCATTTAAGCACAATCGTTTAAGGGGAATACCTAAATATTTGGGTTTTGTCATAGAAAATATGCACGAACTGGGTCATCGTGCTTGATCAACATACCCAGATTTGGTTTGATGCTAAAGGACGGAAAACTCAGGAAAGCTGACGGTTAGCACATAAGAGAACAGTTAGCTTAGCATAACAGGAGCTAGATCTACAGATCTTGTTAAATCTAGCTTAAGTGGGTGCAAGAAGAGGTCTGGGTCAGCCTGCCTGACTTCCAAGTCCAACTCTGTGACTTGCTCCCTGTATGTCTTTTAGTAAGTAACTGGACAGACTCTACTAAGATTCAGCTTGCACATCTTTAAAGTAGGAATAATATTTTCTAACCAACTAGTCTGTTGTGATTATTAAACAAGATAACCTGCATCAATTACTTTCTCTGAAATAACATTCCCAACCTGTTTAGTATCTTCTCAGAATTTTTTTCTTCTAACGCTTTAATCATTGAATATACTCCTAGATATATGAAAGTGTAGTGATGAAGAAGGTGTAGCAAAAAAAATCAAAAGAATATAACAGAAATGAAAGAGAAATAAGATGTTCTTGACCTGACAGGATACAATATTATGGCACAGAGTAAGTAAATATTATCTATCATTGCCACCATTATTTGAAGTGACTATATCTGACAACAAAAGTTTTATGGACTCTTCGGATGTTTAGGCTTTACATTTTTCCAGAGTTACTTTTCCTATTTTATCAAATCAGCTTTTGTCATGACTCCAAGTTGAAATAAGCTAAGAATATATGCAAATGTTCTCTGGACAATCTAAAATCTTGATGAAGTGAATGAAAATAGTACCTCATTTATCACAATGGAAGAATGGAATATTAGATGTGATTATCAAATGTCCCATTTTAGTTATTTATGAAAACGGATTCTGGGAAGTGCTAAAAATAGAAAAAGGTTGCATCATGGAAGTCAGAAGTTCTGAAGAACTTGCTGAACCATCTTACTATCTCCAAAAGTCATCATAACGTGAACCTGATTTTTTTAAAGTGATTTTCTTCTTGAGTCTTAAGAGTCTCAAATGACAAGTCATTAAAGATATATTTTGGGGACTTTATTCAACTTTATAGTGACTCTTGCTGACAGTGTCATGCCTTCATCTTACATTTTTGCCACTTCTTCCAGTTATTTTAAATCAGCTATTCTACATGCACAATAAAAGGATAGTATTCTAACAAATCATTTTAATATCTACAAATTTTAATTTTCAAAAATTTACAGTGGAATCCCTAGTCAGATAAATAATTACCTTTATATTCATAGTTAAATATGCATGTCAATTGAATAAGCATAATTGATGTTATATAGAGTCAATCAGTGTGACACATGGTTAACCTGGATAACTAATACGATCAATGAATGGAGAATTCTAAAACTTTATTCACTGCAAATTTCATTCCCTAGTGATTTTTTTAAGGTGAAGTACTGTGGCGTGTTCAAAAATTTGAATATGTAGGGAGTAGCTGTAACTGCTGCAATTTGAACTACTAAATCCCCACAAATTTCAGTTTTATTATCAATAGGAAATGCCACTTACATTTCTAGCATTTGTCATGCTGAATCCAACAAAAGAGGACCTTAGACAAAATTAAAAAGAAAAAAATGAATTAAATGGACTCTGATCCTACTTAGATTGAGGTCAAAAGTTGAGTCTAGGAAAATTGTGTATCCAGAGCAAAGTGAAAGTTTACTTTCTGTTCATCCATTTCCAGAAATGTGCCTTGCAACTATAGCAACATTTTCCAAGGCAACCAAGTGCAGATTCTTTCTGAGCTATATTTAGAAAGTATCTACAAGGATGTTCATTTTGATTAAGACCACTAAGCAGGATTTCCTCTTTGAACTCCTATTTTTCACGTTGTTATTAAAACAAGCTAATCACACATATCCAGAGTTTAATATAAGCATAAATTATAATCAAGGAAGCCTTGACCTAATAGTTTATCTTTATCCTTTTTTCGCTGAGAAGATTATCAGGCTCTTTCTTGAGCACTGCAGAAAAAAATATAATCCTACATAATTTATTTCATGTGATTCACCACTGTTATTTAAAAATCAGTGTATTATGTATGATTTGAGAATGAGAGAACTATTAGGCATAAGTGGAAATTCTGTAAAGTTTCTTATCACAAAACTTTTGAGCATAATATGTAACTTCCAGTCTATCAGTTTTTACTGTTTTTATTATATTGTCTAGCAGGAGACTAGACAGGGAGAAACACTGGCATTACCAAACATTTGTACGTGTGTTCTGAATGCTTATTTGACATTTCTGCCCCAAAATTGAAAACCTGGTGCACTAAAACATGACATTATTGTTTTGCATTTTAAATAGGGTCACATGTTTGTGAATAATAAATCATACTTTTCAGTGAAAATCTGCTAATATATTACTTAAAAGTTAACAATACCATTTTTCTGTGTTCATTTTCATCTGTCATATTTGGTAAAGTATCAAAAGAAATTATACATCATCACTTTAAAAAACAAAACAAAACACCAGGATTCCATAGGAGAAGAGTCCTTAATCACAGAGAACCTCTGTAGACTTCATAGCAACCTCTCTAAGGTCTGTTAGCCTTTTCAATAGAACAAGGAACTCTGACCTTATATTTTTCTAATGTTGTCTTTGGATATGCTAATACTTTTGTTATAACTTCACCCAACTGAGGCAGAAATTGTTGCCACCTCATTAGAGACTTCTATGTAGTCAATGATAAGTGTATAGTGATAGAAAAACCACAAAGAAAGGATACAGACATTTTGTCTGCTACCTGGGGAAAGGGGATGCTTTTGAGCTATCTGACTGTACTTTTGGAGAAACAGTAGGAAAGGAAGGGACTTCAAAAGAAGTCCTACCAAAAAAGAGAACAAGTCCTACAAATTCTGTTCCTTATTTCTAGAATCTGAGCTAACCCTCCCCAAATCAATTACTTTCTATCCAAGACTTTTAAGTAGTCAAAGATATAAGTTCCTTAACTTTGCAAAACTTTTGCCAGTGTTTAATCATAACTACTTGTCCAAAGGGGGAAAAAAAGTTCTATCAAATCAAAACCACTTCCTGTTATTCAAATCTATTTCCATGTGAAACTAAAGACCAGTTTTAGGTAGTCATTTCCTCCAACCAGCCCTCCCAGTGAAGAAAGATGTTCCTTCTTTGTCTCTGAAATAAACTCCCAATTCCACTAGAATTTTTTTCATGGGTTTTATTTTCCAACCTGTTAATCATTTTAAGTACTCTGTTAGATATGTGAAATGTAGAGAGTAAGAAGGCATAGCAAAAGCCATCAAAAGCATATGACAAAAGAAAAAGTAAGACACTATTTTTGCCCTCAAATATTGATAACTTGCAAACACAGATTGCAAGAGAAATAGAAAATTAAGTGAGGCTTAGAAAATGATTCTCTATGAAAAGTGATCAAAGTCTTGCTAGACTGAATTCTTCAAATGCAGGGCCTATGTCTTCTTCGTCTTTAACACTTCCACATTTAGCAGAGTGTCTGGCACAGAACAGACATGCAGAATATTTGAAAAATGGACTTGGCCAGATGAGCAATATGTTTGAAAGTATCGTAGCATAAAAATATTCTAAATAAAAAGGCCACAAGAAAAAATAAAGGAAATTAATGTGAGTATATTAAAGGACAATGCAGGAGGAGCTACAAGGAAACATAAAAACATGAAAGGGTGTCATGGGACTACAGGACCTTTAGGACTGTTACCATCTTTAACAGCTCAAGGCTCCTTGGCTCTACTTTGAGTTGGGTTGGCCCTAAAGGAAGCCCTCTGCAGATCAGCGCCTCCCCATGGCTCTCTCTGGTTGAGCCCACTCTAAATCACGAAGTATGCAAATTATTCTGAGGTAAAGTGTCCTAAAATCACTGTCTTGAGGTGGAGCAGTGCATACCAGGGTGCAATTTCTTCCCAAATATGAAAGCACCAAATCATGGCTGTCTAACCAGAATTTTGGGTTGGCCATCCCTGTTTCCTCTTAGTACGACACAGAAAGAAGGCAAAATTGTATTCAAGACTCCTACCCAGTTGTATGTTTTTATTCATATGGAAATAGATGGGAGAGGTGGCAGAAAGGGTCAGGGTGGGTGGGACTCAGCTACCAACTGGTCTTGGCCCCTGGACAGGTCCCTGGGTCACTCTAGTTCTCTGTCTCCCAGTTAAACCTCAAGATCCCTTCCTGCTTGTATCGTGGATGTCTCGGTATTACTGCTACAAACGGGCACCCAAAGAAGTTGACGTCCACCTTGCTATTTCCCACAGACATCGCTGACCCAAGAGGCTGGGAACGAGAGAATGCTGGGACTCAGGCTGACGAGTCCAGTCCCTCAGCACTTCAGCGAGCAGCTTGGGGGATCTCGGAAACCGAAAGTGACCTCACATACGGAGAAGTGGAGCAAAGATTAGATTTGCTTCAAGAACAACTTAACAGGTATAAGCAGTAGCCAGGCAAAGGGAGAACACAAGCCAAGCCCTTGGCTGCATCTGGCTTTTCCTCCTTGCGAATAGCACGTGCATCCTGCCATAGAACTCATAGCCTCTTTATACACTTATTTATTTAAAATAAGACTAGAGGTTGACAGAATTATTAATCTGTCTTGCAAGGAGCATTTATTTAGAAATCTTCATACTTCTGGCAGCATGAATCCTATTTTTTCTTTACTTGCCATAAAATTAGTATATCATCAGCACTGGCTGCCAAAGAAAACCTTTTTTTTTAATTCCCTCAAAATAATTCATATTTAGCTTGTTGACTAACACCCTTCCTCTTTAAGTCCTTCTCTTACACTCTTTACTGGTTCCTAGGTAATTTAGCTGTGTGTTATAACATTTTTCTAAAATCAACAAAGTGATTTAAACATTTAGTTATTCAGTAAGCTTGTCAGAAATGTGATTGGGTTGAAAATCCCACAGACTTAAAGCCCAGATCCTCTCCATCTTTGATCTACACACAGTTTTTGGAGGGCAAATTCATTCATTTATTTAACACATGGTCTCTTCCCAACTTGTTCAATGAATCAGAAATGAAAATGAGGGCTGAATCTACTCAGCCTGTAGGTCAAAGTTTCCCTTCCTTTGATCTTATTAGTTAATGTTAGCATGGATGGGCCTTACCAATGTACTTTTTTATGATTATGTAATTTCTTTTTTTAATTGGAGTATAATTAATTTACAATGTTGTGTTAGTTTCAGGTGTACAGCAAAGTGATTCTGTTATATGTATACATATTCTTTTTCAGACTCTTTTCCATTATAGTCTATTACAAGATATAGAATCTAGTTCCCTGTGCTATACAGTAGGACCTTGTTGTTTATCTGTTTTATACATAGTAGTGTGTATGTGTTAATCTCAAACTCCTAATTCACCTCTCCCCCCAACACCAATCTAAAACCTTATAAGAAAAGGAATAAATTTTGGTTCTAGGAAGGATGGAACCCCTTAACACAAAACTGCATGGACTCAAAATTAAACTGGTCAGTGAGATTCAGGGGGGGAAAAAAGATATGTGAGTATAATATAGCTACCTTAGTTGTGTTACATGTGGAAAGTGACCTTGATTCAAGGTAGCTTCCAGGTTCACCACCAGGCAAGGTATTCCAGGGGTCAGAGACAGAAAACTGTATGGATTAAACCAAAATTCTCAAATCACAGGATTTGCTGTCATTTTAAAACACACAATGAGTGATGAGGAGAGTCAGATGGAACAATTAACACATCTCTAATAATAAGCAAGCATGGTGACAGGACCACACTACCTGAATCCTGATTTACGCAGTGTTCATTTATGCCGTGTCAGCCTTCCCTGCTGATGGTGTGTTTATGAGGACCAAAGTTGAGGTTTGCACAAAAGGGGTCCACAGATGAAAAAAATCCACAGTGTCAGTGACACGCACTAACTGTGTGACAGAGATGTAAGGTCAAGTATACCTGGCCACAGCTATGGCATTTCAGTTAGCCTGCCGTACAGCCATGTGTTTTATTGGCCTTTTATAGGTAAAGAACGTGAGGATTCATACTGTGTGTGTGTCACCAGTGGGTGACCTAATTTTGAGGGTGGCAGTCATCTGCCCAGAGATGACAGAGAATAATTTGTTCTTTTCATCTCTTTCCTTGTATAAGTCATGCTCTGGTTTGTTACATCATATTTCTGTTCTGTCTTTGGGGTGTTTTGTAGGTTGCTAGCATGCTGTCTTTAATACATCTTATGAATTCTGCCCATGTCTAACAAGCTACTTGCTTACTCATTATCTGTACTTACCACATTCTATGAGTTTTGCTTATATCACATAAGCTAACTATCTAAGCTTAATTTTTCTTCTGTGTCTTATTGGTGTTGTTCACTGCTTTCTTGTTTTTTAAAATCTTTATGCCAGAATTAAACAGTGTCAAATAATACAGTAAACATATAAATGTATGTACACACATGTACATTACCAATGAAAATGAATTAGGAACTAAAACAGACAAAATGGATCAGAAAACCTACAGCTTAGTGAACTGAAATTGATTTGTATGCTTTAATTTCAAACACAAGTATGAAAATATTGCAGGAATTAAAGACTTCATTTTGTATTTCATGTTTTCATGTAATTTAACCAAAGTTTAAAAGTAAAAGTTGAGGTCTATATTGCATCCCAAGTGCCAAATGCAAGTCTTGTAAAATAAGAGCTAAGAATATTAAAACAGACTATCATTGACTTAAGAGTCAGTAATTCTTAATTAAGATATAAGAACTTGCCATGATAATATTTATTATTAATCATAAAAGCATTTTTGGTTAATTAATACGTTTGCTATCTCTCCCTGCTATTTATACCAAGCTACATGGACCTTTTACCCATAACATATATAGAAATATATACTGTATATACAAAAGAATTGCTATGTGTGATCTCTGAACTTGAATGTCTTTGATTCCTATGACTGAGAGAAAATGACTGCCCATTCTTTTACTGACAAACATATAGTGTGTGTTCAACTCCTTGAGTAAATGAAAAAGTGAGTGAATGCATGACAGAGACAGCAGTGATTTTTCGGCATGATACTCACACAGCAATTGCAACTGGTTAACCTAGACTAAAGTCTTAACTCTGCTACTTAGCTGCTAGTAGGAAGCCTGGGTCAAGTCATTTAAGTTTCTCCAGGCTGCCTTTTTCTTTGACCTATATGTGCCTGCAAATACTTCTGTAAAGACTGAGGTAATGCATGTGGAGAGTATGTATATGCTTCAAAACAGAGAGTGTTGTAGTTAGGTGAAATTTGATTAACAATGAACTTCACTTATATTATTGGTATTCATCTGAATATATTATCCTGCTTTACATATATTTCTGTGTTTCCTGATTTCAACCTTTTTTCAGAATGAAAATTGAGATTTTTACAGTTTCCTTGTTGCCTTGTCATGGGTACCAATCATTGCTGCTAGTGTAAGCCAAAGATTACTGAAAATAAGTGTTATTACTATGTCTTGGGGCTGAAATTATAAACTTTTAAGGGCATATACATCTAAGACCCATTTGGTTTGCAACTGCCCAATGGTAATAATAATTATTTTATCACAGTGATTTTTAAATTATTGTTATATGAAACTTTTTCACAGCCAAACTGCAACTAAATCTCTTTTTTTGGCATGTTCGTAGTATCTGTATATTCATTAACATACTTCTTTTCTTTAACTAATGTCTTTCTATTTATCTCTGAAATTTTCACATTTTATTGCCTAACACAGCTTAGCCTCTTTTGGATTTAAAATCCAAAATATTACATTTTTACCGCACTGCCATCTCCAGCAACCTCTCTCCTCCACTTTACTCTAGAATGCAAAAGTATAGAAAACAAATTTGAAGAGGGCAGCTCAGTTTAGACTTCGACTTTGCAGGGTGAGAATCCTGGGACACTTTCTAGACTTGAACCTGCTCTATTTAGCTTCAGCATTTCTGTTCAAATATAGAACTGTGGATTTCTACCCAATTTGTTTCATCCAAATACACATACTAAGTACACAGTGCAATACAAACAAATATAAACTATCTATCTTGAATCGTCCTAGCTGCTGCTGCTTTTCTGCTTTAATAGCCAATTAAACTATATGCAGGGTTAAAGGTTTACATACGAAATGCTCTTACATATTTATATGTTATGCTTACAGATATACATATTTAGGGAAATCACTAACACTTGATCCTAACCTAGCGCTTCTCAAACTTTAATGTGCATTCAGATCACCTAGGGATCTTGTTAAAATGTAGATTCTAAGTCTAGGTCTGGAATGGGCAGAGATTCTACATTCTAACAAGCTCTCAGATTTGACCACACTTTGAGAAGGGAGGCCCTAGAGGGTGTAAAAGCTTTCGGTGCTGACTCCATCCCTTGCAGAACATAGTGGCCGGTACATTGTGGGTCTTTGAACAGCGAATGAAAACTTTCATTTTATGCTGCTGTATAGCTATGCTGATGTAGGCGAAGAAAAATAAATTTCCCTCTACCCTTCTGAGTTCTTGGCTGAGACCTGTAAAATAATAGACAGATTCATAAGAGAAAACAAACATAAATTTATTAACATGTATACCTCACGGACACATGGGAGATACTCGGGGGAAATGAGTAACTCCCTGAAGTGGCTTAGAATTCAAGATTAAACAGCATCTTAATCGGGAAATGGGCTGGGGGATGGAGTTCTCCTAGAGGAGAGAAACTAATTTTTAGGCCAGATGTATGGGCTACCTTAGCAGAAGAGATGGGAGGTATGACGGTTTGTGGCAAAGTTTGTCTTATTGTGGTGTCAACTTCTAGATTCCTCTCCTGCAACAAAAGTCAATCTTCCGTGATTGTTGAAACTTCCAGGGAGGGGATTTATGACAATTGAGTTCCTTTTGGAAGAGCTGCCTTGAGGCAGCTAAGGGAAGTTCAGAGAAAGCCTCTCCCTGCATTTGCTGTTTTCCAAGTGCCTACAGCTCAAAAGAATCAGTATGCCAAAGTGGCATATTTTGGAGTGGCCTATGCTGCACCAACACTGCACTGACAAAAAAGTTATAAAACTGGGTTGTTCTTTTCTTTTTTAAAGACCAAGCTGGACTTTTTCAAACTTCTCTATAATTCCTACAGAGTAGAGCAGATTATTCAGTGTTATTAGAAGAGTCCATTCCAGTTAAGCCAGTAGACCCTAATCCTAAACATGAAAATACGACCTATGCATAGTAAAGAAATCCTTCAGTAAAGCTCCTCTTTGTTGAATGTTTTAGTCCGTTTTGGACTGCTGTAACAAAACTACAGTAGAATGGGTGATTTATAAACAACAGATGTTTATGTCTCATTTCTGGAGCATGGAAAGTTCAAGGTCAAAGAGCCAGGAGATTCAGTGTCTGGTGAGAACCAGCTTCCTGGTTCATAGATGGCTGTCTTCTCACTGTGTCCTCACATGGTAGAAGAAAGGGAGCTCTTTGGGGGGGTCTTGTTTCGGAGGGCACTAATGCCATTCATGGGGTGCTACCCTCATGACCTAATCACATCCCTAAAGCCACACTTTTTACCATCACATTGGGGATTAGGATTTCAACAAATGTGTTTTGGGAGGACATAAACATTCAATCCATTGCACTGAACTATCCCAAATATCGGATTACAGGTTAATAAAACCAAACTCAGTATCCAAAATCACTGCATGAAGGGAGACGGCCACCTCGACAGGATCTTAAGTATTATCTCCTAAGGGGAAGGAAGAAATAAGATATTTATTGGACTTTGGAGCCTGGGCCTTTCAAGGTGGGAAACTGAGTGGATTTGGGCAAAGTTCAGGATGAATGGACACAGAGAAATGAAGACCTTGAAGCAAATATGGATAAATAAAATTTGTTTGATTAAGCAAGTTATTCCTTCAAAAGAGCAGATGGCTATCTCCAGTGAGTTGACCTATAGAAATTTCCTGAAGGAGTAAAGTTATTTACCCACTTGGACTTATGTTTCCCAGGCACAGTTTTTTGGAACAACAAAGTCATGTTGACAGAGGTGGTCTACGGTCTCAGCAAAGTCATGTTGGCACAGACAGTCTCATGGTCACCCTCCACCCTCCACCTGCACGTGATGGCCTTGCGTTCGGGAGTCCCGCTCTGGCAGCGTGTTGCTATTACTGAAGTGCGCCTCCCAATGGGTTTTTTCCTCATAGACACGATTCAAATAGAATCCATGATGCAGAGATCCTGTTTCCTGGAGATCACCGCTGTTTGGCAAAGGTTTTGTAGGACACAAAAACATTATCATAATTTTTGACTCGCTACTGGGTCTTGAATCCCATTTGTTAATGAAGTTTTTATTCCACTCCTCACCCCCAAATCCTTTTACATTTAATATGTAGGCCACTCACTAAATATTAAATGTGGTTAATGATAGGATACATTTGCACAGAAGTATATACCAGGTACTCTGAATGTAGAATTTTCTTTGGGGGTTCAGAGGAAAGAGAAATTAATTCTGAATAAGGGAAGATTTTTGAGTACAGATAAAACTTGTGCTGGACCTTGAAGAGTGAAAGAAAAAATGGATGTGTAATAAAATAACGAGCCTTCTCTCTTTAGTTGGCACCATAAAAAATTCAATCAGAACAATGGGTAACAAGTTGATAAATAAACTAGTTGATAACTCAAATTTGCTTTTTCAGTGTGTAGTGTTGACATTTGCAAGGCACAGTCATGTATAATTTATAGTTATTAGTTTAGAAGACATTAAGCTATGTGGCTATATTAGCCAGATATAGAAAACCTGCACAAATAATATGTTATCATGATTCTCAGAAGGAAGATTTGTAGTTTCAATATTAAGAACTAAAAAGAAAAAAGAAAGGATCTTCTCCCATGTTTTCAAGTTTTATTCTGCTCTCTCTCATATCAAAGGCTAAGTTCTCTCCGCTTTTAAATTTCACAAATATAGCATGTATATAACAGCAAAATTAGTCTGTGAATTTAACATTTTTGATAAGATTTACCTTTTTAATGCATTCTTCATTGAAATAAAATCGTACACACAAATAAGAGTTAAAAGAAGAGTTTTCTAAAGAGGCATATGGTCCAAATTTTCTGTTCTTATACCCACAAAATTCTCTCTTTTTTAATACTGTTAACACACACAAAGGAGGGAGATTGTACCAATGGTTGTTTGCAATTTTCCCTTCAATTTTACTTTCAAATGAGAATGAAATTAACAGGCCAGTTAGCTACTTGTGAGCTTTGGGGAAAAAATTATCAGACTGGTATTTTGCTAGCCAGATGGGTCATAGAAGCAAGTAAACGTTTATGTTTGATCTGTTTCTTAACTATCAAAGGCCCTAAACTGTAAATGGGAAAGGAATTTAGCACTTGACAGTAGTTAACATTAAGAAAAAATGCAATGAAAAATATACAATATTTGACATGAATAGGAGAGGGGCAAGGTAAGATGAAGGTAACAGAAATTTGAAACACATAAGGAATTATCCGTTTGTTCCAGCTACCTAAGAAAGGTGCTATGGAATCTATTTTTTAAAGAGTAAGTAAAATGCTTACAAGAAACTGACCAAATAATTTATTGGAATGAACTAACTGGCCTCCTCCATTCCCCCTTTCCTTTTTGCAATGAATTTTATTTCCTGGCGAGGTTGATAAATACCACTCAAATGATTATGATTTAGAAGTAACTTTCTCCTGCTGCTCTAATCTGATGAATGTTTACCGTACGACATTTTCTGACAAGGCATTTGGTTTTGAGTATCTGTTATTTTAGCACCACTCCTACTTGCTTCTTTTTATCTTTGCCAGTTTACGATACCTCAGTCCTATTTGAAAAGACAGAAACCTAATCAAAAGAAAAGTCATAGAAACTAAGTTTAATGATTTGTTTTGTAATGTATCCTCCATGTCCAGTTTGGTTACCTTGTTATACAATACAAATGAAATATGTTTTTACTCCTGTGCCCTTGTCATCATTAAAATTAACACAAAAAGTGCAAAAAAAAAAACCTGACTAAAACCTGATTTAAAAGATGATTACTGATTAAAAATAGATTCTCAATGTGTTTTACCATTTGAAATCAACAAAGCTTAACTGTAAAAATGTAATACAGTGTACACTATGAAAATGTAGGCTCTTCATTCAGCTGTTTTTCTATTAAGATCTTATTAAAGGAACAGGAAAGCAACGGTCTTTATCAGAACCATTAGTGAGACATAGAAAGTGAGCATTTCTGTGTTCCCTCTCCTCTCCTTGTTTAAAGCAGGACCACAATTCTATTCATTGATGAGGCTGAAATTTTCTTAAATGCTTTGAAATCCTGGACTACTTTAGGACTGTCTTCCCCTATTTCTGTCTGTCCTGCAGACTCGAATCCCAAATGACGGCAGACATCCAGACCATCTTACAGCTGCTGCAGAAACAAACCACTGTGGTCCCCCCAGCCTACAGTATGGTAACCGCAGGAGCAGAGTATCAGAGACCCATCATCCGCCTGACGAGAACCAGTCATCCGGTAGCATCCATCAAGACGGATCGAAGTTTCAGTCCTTCGTCACAAGTGAGTATAGATAGTGTGTAACCTAGGGTGTCTCTCAAAGTGTGTTTCCAGGGACCATGTGAATCAGCGTCACCTGGGCTGCTGTGGGAAAAGGAGATTTTCATCCCCATCTCTGTTTCTTCTCAATTGAAACTTCTGGGAATGAGCCCTGTAATCTGCCTTTTAAACAAGCTCCCCCTTGATTCTTATGCTTATTTAAATTTTGGAAACAATGGACCTTAAAGAATGATCTTAAAACACTGGTTTTTTTTTTTCTTAAAGAAAAAGCTTTTTTCAAGAATCAGTCTTACTAAGTTTATCAATGGTAGAGCTCTGAAAGCTAAGGAATAGCCCTGGGTCCAAAAAAACCCTTCAGATAAAGGTTTGTAATTTGCTCTAGTGACAAGAGACACTTTTGAACGTGATCTCAGGAAGGAATGGGAGAAGAAATAGCAGCCGGCCAGAGAAGACCTGAGATCCAAGTGCAGTCAGACTAGTAATCACATCTGAGCCCCACCCATCACCAGAAATCTCTTAACTTTTCTCACCTTGGTGATGGTAAGAAGAGATATTCTGGTGTCCTTTATCCTTCCTCTGAAGTCCTATGAGGAACCCTTTGAATTATGTTAATATGAAACATCCAACTCGTTTGGAATTCTATTTTAGGAATCATTCTTAATTACTTAAACACTGTGACCAAATTGGATCTAAGAACAACCATTTAAAGAAGAATGTACAGAACAATTTTGTAAAAACTTTTTTAGAAGTTTGGGAATTGAGTGCAAAATGTTCTGGGAATGAAACTACATTAATAGCATGAGGTAATTTGCCAGAAGGGAAATAATGCAATCTTTCCAAAACATGAAAGTAGAAATGTATCTCTAGCTTAAAATGGCTGGGAAACATGCAAAACCGTGTACTTAGTTCGTTGCTTTCAGCAGCTTTAGATAGTATTTTCTGACTAAGGATGGATGGTTTTCCTTCCTTTCTTTTTTCTCTCTCTTTGTACTCCAAATGTACTCACGAAATAACCTGCCTTTCTGATCCCAGTGTCTGGAATTTTGAATTAAAATTCATCTGAAAAGCTCAATGTGAAACAATGTGCTTAAAATAATAATAATTTGATACAGCTTCAGAATAAAATTAAAGTTCTTGGACTGGTTGTTTAGGATTATCTAAACTGATACCCGATCTCCAATGTCTTGGCCCATCTTTGAGAAGGAAAGTTTGGTTAATACCACTAATCCAATGTAGAGTTTGGAAAAAGAAAACATCTTTAGATTTCAGGAGTGTAATTTTAGAAATACGTCCAAATGAATTATAAAAACGTGTTTTCTTTTCTTTTCTTTTCTTTCTATCAGTGTCCTGAAATGCTAGACCTTGAAAAATCTAAACTTAAATCCAAAGACTCCCTCTCAAGTGGGGTGCATCTGAACACAGCTTCGGAAGACAACTTGACTTCACTTTTAAAACAAGACAGTGATCTCTCTTTAGAGCTTCACCCCCCGAGGCAAAGAAAAACTTACCTTCATCCCATTAGGCATCCTTCTTTGACAGATTCATCCCTAAACACTGTAGGAATCTTGGGTCTTCATAGGCATGTTTCTGATCCTGGTCTTCCAGGAAAATAATCATTTTGTACTATTACTCCACATACAATGTAAGTGCTTTTAATGGCTGTTTTCCTTTTTGTATTTAAATCCTCTACTTGACTCAGGGGCTCACAAGGTACCATTATATGCAAAAGTACTGTATATTTTCCTAAATTGAAGCTTGTAAGGTAAAATTGAGCAGTTAGGATGTAAATATAAATATGAACTCTTTTGTTCCAAATGTTAAAACTGCCAGCATCTCAAGGCACCTTATTTTTTATTTTTATTTTTTAAATCACGTGCATGTTAGGAAACTCCAATTTCTCTTGCATGGAGACTCCAATTTACTGCTTTTGCTAAACCAGTACTTCGTTATGAAAATGCCTTCCAAGCAAATAAGAAAGCAAGGATACAACTCAGATGATTCTCAGCTTGTGGAAGTTCAAGGGGGAAGAAAGGGAACTTTGTCACTTTTGAGGACACATACTCTTCTGTGTTGACATGTTTCTAGTTGATTACATTCATTCCAGCACACTGAAAAAAAAAATACAGTTTTAGAGTTATAAATCTCTGACAGTGTAGGAAGCCATCTCCAAATACATGAATATAGGCCAGCTTTAACGAGGACAAAAAGGCCTTTCTATTTAAAAGCCTGTCTCTAACTGCATTCACAAACTCCCTGAAATATTTTCCACTGGCATATTTCCTTGAATGCTTACAAACAAGTTTCTCTAATTTTTCTTTTGTGGGGTCAGGGTTGGGGGATGGGAGAGAGTCTTCTCCAGAACTGCTAAAGCGCTACTGACACCAACTGACATCCACAGCTTTCTTCTGACTCATATTTTAGGGCAACCCGGAGTTTTGATCAGATTGATGCATATAGGCTTCTTTCCAAAAAATGTACAATTTCAGTGGATTTGTGTAGCAAAATTAGCTTGCATTAAGTACAGGTTGTTCTATGGCTTTCTAATCCCAGCTGTAGGAAAACAGTGTGCATTTACCGACTTACAAAGAAAATGCACAAGCCAGCAGAAAAATTAGTTTTATTTGATTATTCAAACACGTTTGCTAATGAAAGATTAAGTGAACATCTATTATATAGTATATATTGACTCCAAAGTATCAGAGCATACAGTGGAATATATTTGAATATCTTCAACTGTTAGATCATTTTGGAGTGATGATGGTACATGCCTCTCATAAAATCAGGGTACAGAAAAACTGCAAGTTAATTTAAGATTCTGATCAGTCAATTTCTCATTAAGAAGTTTTATTTTTCAATTAATTTGAATACAATTTTAAACTTACTGTGGACTGATCCATTGTATCCCTTCCTTCTGAACAACATTTTAACACTTTTTGAAAGTTTCTTCATCCTTTACTAATTCTTAGACTCACATATATTTTTAAATAAACATCATATCTGTGCACCTAATTATATGGATTAATATCTATCCCTCCAGGATAGAAATATAATCTATTAACTTACCTTTACCTTTGACGCTAGTATATTATTTTCAAATGCAAGCAATTTATTTAAATTTATAAAAACATTACACTACTTAAAATGTGATTACAATGGCCTTAGATGGCTCCCTATATATTTTTTAATGGCCACATAAATTGATCATCTGTGTGGAAGGCAATCTGTAGGCCTTCTGTAGGCAATCTGAGAAAACAAAAATGTAAGTGATCAAGTACATGTGACAAAATGGCTAGTTGATTCAATAAAAGCATAGTAATTTAAACCAGCTTTCCAAACCATTTGGCGTTGTGCAGATACAAATTTAGGAACTAACTGATGCTTTCCTTTCCTCATTCAACAAACATTTATGGGTGCCTAGCAGGGGAGAGAGAAATGGCTAAAGCTGATTCAGAGGACGACATAGGGATTTTATTTTCATATTTAGGCAGATTTTTGCAGCTGCAACCAATTTTATAAGGATTGTTGGTCAAGCTCCAGGGAAATTCAGAGTGAATTCACCAGAGAGTGTTCATTTGTAGGGAGAGAGGATTTGGCAGGTGAGGAATTTAGATCTGATTGTTGGATTAGTGAATGCTTCAGCTGCATCATTTGGTATGACATGCATACAATTCAGCTTTGCACGTAAAGCCTCTGTACGTCCTTATAAAAAGTAAGCGTGAAGGAATAGGAAGATAGGGAATGGTGTGCGAGCGTCCAGCTTGTTTAAATTCCAGTACAACATAATCCTTTTTTCTTCTTTATTCCTCGACAGAAAAGAATTGCTTGATATTAAAATCCATGTCTCAGAGAGCTGGACAGGATTAGGAAGGTCCCTTCCTACAGGATATTAGCTTTAAAAGAGCCTGAGCAATATAAAGATGTGGTCAGTGAGGCATGAACCTCAGAAGACTCAATGGTTACAATGACTTAAACCAAAGTAATTATCTTAACTTACAAAATTCATCCTCCTGTCCCAGCCAGATATCTACTGCTTAAAATCACTGTCACTTTCCTCATGGGCTGTAGCAAAAACAGTCTGGCCCTTCCATCTTGGGACCCTACTGAGAGCCAGGTTTAACTGCTACAGCCAGTAACAGCAGTATAACAACTGCTCTCCTTCTAGGTAAAAATTAACATAACACCTTTTGCTTCTCACTTAAAAATAATGTTACCTGGTCTCCAGGCCTAAATAAAACGGCATCTAAAACTTAAAGTTTATTTGGGTTAGATGTTTTCTGATGTTATTAATTGCTGAGCAGAGATGTGAAAGACTTATCAGTTTACCCTAGAGCGGAGTCCCATACTCTAATTAGTTGATGAGAAAACCAGGAATAAAAAATGCTGAAGCAGTGTTCTCGTGGGGTTTTAAAATTAATAATCACTCATTCAACAAACATGAGAAGGCAGGCGCATATCTGGGACAGCATAGGTTCTCAAGTCCATTACAGTGGCTTGCTCATCAGCACTGGGTCTTCTGACTCTTCCAGTCAGAAGACAAGGAAGCCAAGTCAGGCACAGTCACTACTGTGACTGTGTGTGTGTGGTTGAGGGTTGCTTCTGAGGTCCTTTTGGAGGTTGATCTTTAGCAATGCTTCTCAGATGCCCAAAAGACTAATGTCCTTATCCAAATGAGATTTTGAAATCCCACCATACATTATCAAAGGATAAAATTTATCACCTGATCTGCCAATCTAAAATAATAATTACTAACAACTGTGTCTTTCCTCTGAATTCTTTTTATGATTAAAAAAAAGGAATCTGGTAGAACTAGTTAAAAGTGAATAAAAGTGAAGCATAAAAATACGTATCCATGGTTAAAACCAAAAGTACATATGGCTATACTTCAACTTAAAAAAAAGTAGATCAGTTACTTAAGTAGATTTATAATTGTAAATCAAAATATTTTATAAATTACAGAAATCATATTTTTTTCTGCAGTAAAACAAATGTGTCTATCATGTGAGTTCAAAGAGGCACTTGGAAGACGAGGTAGTGATGTCTCTGAGTGTGGTCCTCAAATTGGGAGCACTAGCTCCAACCACCTGGGAACTTGTTGGAAATGGATGTTCTTGGGCCCCACCCATATCTACTTGGGGATGGGGCCAGCAATCATGTTATAACAGACCCTCTTCCATAAGATCCTGATGCACATGAAAACTTTGAGAATTACCTGTGTAGAGCATGAGCTCTGCGGTCAGACCAACTTGGGTCTCAGCATGAGTTCTTTCCTTAATAGCTGTATGACCCTGAGCAAGTTTAATTAACCTCCCTGAGTCTTTTTCCAGAGATAATGGCACCTGTCTTGAAGACTCTCGAGGAGGAAATGAGGTAACATACAGGAAAGGTCTTGGCACATACTAAGTGCTCAAAAATGCTAGATTCTTTGGCTTTCATCCAGGAACATGACATTAAAAACAATCAGGAAAACAAATCATTTTTAACAGTTTAGCTTTTGTACAATGTGCTATGTCTCCAACTAAGCAGCTGTTAGCAAGACTAAAGTTTTGGATTCAGAAATACACAAGTGTGGCTGTTGTTGTCTCTCTCCTAATTGTATTTTGCACTGTTAGATTTATAGCTTTAAAGTAATACTTACTATTTACAATAATAATTGTGAGAGTATGAGTCTCATTCTTACAAACACATTTACTCTGAACTGTTAAACGCCAAGTGTGCAAAGGCGATCTGTGGAATTCAGTACATCTAGAATGAGTTCTGTGAAGGCTGGCTCCCTGGGGAAGCCCCTCTTTAGATCCATGATATAGTTCCCGGTGGATATTTTAAAATAATTTTCAAAATACAATTTTGGAAGAAGATACATTATTTTTTTGGAAAATAGAATTTCATAGTTGCAGTGGTTCTTTGCAGGCAACTAGGCCCACTCCGTCACTGCACAGATTCATTATACAGACAGGCTTCCTCACCTCTAGTGTAGAATGGCAGAAATGCCAAGAGACTCAATGTGATAAACCTGAATTCAAATCCTACCTCCCCCACTCATTCTCAAGACAAACCTTCAGTGAGCCCCGGTATCCAAAACTATAAAAATGGAGGTAACGTCTTAACCATCTTGAAGGGGTGTTGAGGAGTCTCTGAAATGGATAAGTGGAAGTGCTTTGTAAATCACAGGCACCGTAACAGTATAAGATCATCATGTGACGTACGCATCATCACAAGGATGGTGGTATTGTGTTACAAGTGCAGCAGCACTGCATATGTCTTTTAAAAACCTTCCAGAAACCTGACACTGACTGCATATAACCTCTGGGACAAAAATCTATAACATGATTCTCCCACGCCTTTTGGAGACCCATTTGTTCAGAGTAGGAGCCAGCATTAGGGAAGCTTCCTCTGCTATGGCACCCCAATATTTGTCAAATATTACCTTTGTCCAAGATCAATAAAATTACATTTACATTGCAGTTGCAGCAATAGCTTCCCCTTCTCCCGCTCACTCCAGTGTTCTCAAAGTTGTTTTCTTGTGGTCCTAAGTTAACTTATTATGAAGTGATGTCAACCTTTTAAAAACTAAAAGGATCATGTTTTTAAATGCTTTATAAAGTATTAGATATTGTGACTGATCAGTGCCCAAGCTTAGAATAATTCATTACATGCTCTTGTGGTACAAATACACTTTAAGAATATGCAATGCAGAGAAAAAATCCACAGGAAGACATGAATTTTTAATTATTGACAGCATGAAAAAGAAAGTATTACAAGGCTTATTTATATAAACTATTAAGTGGAGGTTGAGAGAGATGACAAGTAACTTAAAATTAACACATTATCACTATAAATAGAATAAAACATCTATAGAAATGCAGTGTTAAGATCACAGAAACATACAATTAATTGACCAATTTTAGTATTCTACCAATCATCCAACTTTTGAATCAGAAAACCAAGAATTGTTACAAAAATGCTTCCAATAAAATATTTTTATTTTGAGAAGTGGCAATACTAAACATGGTTACCCTTGAAAAACTAATATTAAAATCCAGATGAATTCCTAAATTGCAGTCATGACATCTGTAATTTACATTAGTTAATTTATATTTTGAAAGACACAAAATAATTTGGCACAACTGTAGTTTTAAAATACTGTATGTTTAACCTATACTCTTTGTTCTTCCACTGTCTGTATTTTTAATACTTTTTAAATTGGAAATAATCAAATAATCACAATTGTTATCATCTAAACTGTTTTTTAAATACTGACGTCATATTGCTTGCATATATAAGAAAATTCTACACAATCCCACCATTCTTACTTTATTTTGGAGTAAAATTCAGGGATCAGTCATCTTGTAATTAACTCCTCCACATGGTCTCATCAAAATGGTCCTATAATTGCAATAGCATTGAAATGATATGGTACTTTCTCCAAATATTAAAGAAGTAGGACAAAAATATTGGGGAGTCCCTAATTTTTAATCACCTAGGCACCTAACAATTTTAATTAAAAGCACTTACCTATTTTTAGCTGAAATTTGTACTCTATAATTTTGATAGGAGTATGTATACCAGAATGTTTGCCAGTTAAATAATATATTTTAAAAAGTAATGTGTGTAATCACTTGAAAATGTCAGTCTGATATAAAGAAGCTCACTCACGTTGGTTAAGTAGTAAGTACCTTGGAATGCTTTAAACATAATGAAACAATCTACCAAAACACATATATTTCCTAGGCTTTATGCACATAATGTAGCATGAAATCATGATGCTTTTGAAATACTCTGTGCAGAAATATTTATTTTTTAGCAAATATTTTCTTCAAAGATTGGTATGTGGTATTGACAGTATAATCTACTTGCACAACTAGTTTTGCAATAACCTTCCACAAGTAACTGTAAATAAGAAAAATGTAAATTTCATGTAAAAATGGTTGCAAATTTTTGGTAGCTAAAAGTGTACAAGTTGTATTGAAAATAGAGTATATATACATAATTTAAGAACGAAGCCTATAATTTCTGATCTATTTATACATGAAAATTTAAGATTTGTAAAAGAAATTATTTTGGGGAAAAAGAAAGTAAATCTCATTAGCTAGTTAGGGTACTTTTATTAGAGAAGCCAACTATTTCCAACATTTTACTAGGTACAGTGATAGACGTAGGCATGGTGGTGCTCATGTATTTCACAAAATCACATAATTGTAACAGTGCAACAGTTTTACGGTGTTCCACTGAGGCACTAGTAAGCTGGACTGAGTGGTAAAAAGCATTAAATCTCAGATTAAACATAAAAACATTTCACTTTTTGCCTGTCAAGAACATTTATTGTTGGATTACTTAAAATTTCTGCTATATGCGAGACAATTTTTTATAATATATGCCTGATACATATTTTTCATCTAGAATGAAAATATCGAGATACTATTTTCATTTGCTCAAGTTTCATACATTCTTAATTCTTCTCATGGAATTGCTTATCCATTATTTAAGAAAAAAACAAACTATCTTGAAAGAAAACTTTTAAATAAAACTCGTTGGTCATAATGTGGCATGTTCTAAGCAAAGGATTGTTTAATCAGTTTAGGGTTTAGATTACCCACCATTCACTTTTAGGATTTAAAAACCCTTAGAACATTTCCCTATTTGATAAATAAGAAACCAAACCAAACACAGAGTAACAGAAAGCACTGTATTGATATCTGTAAGTGAAGCTGATTAGAAAATGGCAATCAAAGTTTGAAAAAGTTAAATATTTAAAAATATAGTCTCTTTCCGTAAGATAAATTTGGGGGTAATGCATTTAGATAGCTTTGGGATATTAGAAATGCATCCACAAATTCAGTTAATCCTAAAATCATCTTTAAATAGTCTATAATTTTCAAAAGAATATGGATCAATAATTAGTATGTTTCTGGAACATTCATACTAGCACTGTTCATGTTATTCTTTAAAATGTCAGTAATCATAGCAAGATAAAACATGATTAAATACAGCCAGCTAAAATGCAAATGGCTGTACGTGTGTACCTGTAAGGTACATATTTAACTTTTACATTTAGGGGAAGATGTGCGTGTGCGCGCGCACACACACTGCATCAGGAAGGAGGAGGTGCTAATTCCTAGCATATTTGTCTCTGAATATAGCTGTTAAATGATAACCTAGACCAATTCTTCTCTCTCCCTGTAAGATTTCCAAATTCCTACCATGTCTGGTGTCGCAAAGGGGCACATCTGAAAACATAAGTAGCACATAGGCAAGGAGCCTACTCATTCTGTAACTCTGTGGCACCTCAGGGTAATGAGAGGTGCCGCCAACATCTCCTTACTCTATATTCAGATACAGAAGCACATCCGAGTTTTGAATGTTCAAAAAATAATACACAAAGCTGCATATTACCAAGCTACTTGGATAAAAGGAATGCTAAGTAATATGAGGCTCTTTTACTACTTTTTTTTTTAAATAAGTAGAAAAACACATGGCAAGAAACAAAAGCACAGGTCTCCCAGCATTCAAAGAATGACAGAGTTTTTCATAAGTTTCTCATTTTGCTGGAGAAAAATTTTGCTTCTGCTCAGTATTCTAAATTACAGGACAATTTGAATTCAGTATGGACATATGTGATGTTATGACCTTATTCTAGACAACAAATTAGCTGAACAGTATTCATTTAAAATCCTGCCTGCATTCATCACTGTAATCACAGAAGTTCTGAATACTTTTTCTTTGTTATCATCTAATACTATTATGAAGTCTAGACATACTCTTAGATACCTTAGTATTGTACATTTATTTCAAAATGCTTACTCTGCTATGAAAATGATTTAATTAAGACCAAAAATATGTGATCTACTAATACAAGTTTCAAAGTA